TCTGGAACTCTACTTTCTTGGATACGTATAAACCATATAGGCATGAAAGCCGGGTCTTGCAGAAGCAGAACCCGGTGGAGAATCACAAAAACCACGTAGAGACAAATGACGGTGGCTGAGAATGCTACTTTGTTTACACCTGCACCCTAGGGGAAATTTACAGACCTGATGAAAGTAAGCATGCTAACAGAACCACCCACAATTCACTCTAGCATATGAGGTGATTGTAGAATGTGAAGGGCAGTCAGTATTAGCTATAACCCTCAATGCAGTAACCAAACTGTTGAATCTGTCTTCTCTAAGTGGACCACACGTTTCCTTTTGCTCTTCTCTCCCAGATTATCCAGTGTGTAAACAGCAGGGTAACTAGTCTTTTGCCTTTGCCCAGCATAAGTCATCCAGTTTCCTGCTCACTAGCTGAGTTAACCCCAGGGAGATAGTGGAATGAAGAATTAGCACTAGGAGAGTTTCAAAACACAAGGGAGCCAAAGGATGAAACAGACCACTACCCTTTTTTATGAAAGGTGGAGGAGCTAGGGATTTATAATGTTTTTAAAAAAGGAGGTCTTGTATATGTTTAGCCATGAGGTCCATATCTTATAATGTGCAGCAGTTGGTAGGAGTCATAGTGAAATCTGTTACCATGTGCAGCAACATTAGGGGAGCATTTCCTTTTCTGCAGATGCCAGTGAAACATGTGACAGCTTTACTACATGCTAAAGTTGGTTTTCCCCTACAAAGGTCGCTGAGAACAAATTAGGACATAACTTTCAGCATCAGAGACTAACCACTCCAGGCCTTGGGAGAGTTGCTGGGAGTATATTTAATTCCAAATTGCAAACAGTTCGAGTCAAGTTACAAAATAATCTTTTTCGAGCCTGCTGAGATCTTCTGAAATCTAATAAATCGGTCCTTCCATTGATCAATGGCCAACCAGAACTGGGGTTTGATTCTCTCGTCCTTCATATAGAGCCACAAGAGACCTTCTCAAACAGCACGAAGCTCATTTAGCTTTTCGTGAGGTGGAAGTGAAATGCCATAGTCTGTTTCTTAAACTCAGAGATAGCTGCTGTAATATGATGAGACTGGAGTGATTGTGAATGCTGGGGAGATATTCTGATGGATATTTGCTCAGGGAAGTTATCATAATCTACTGAATTTCTGTATATAACTTCTATTTCCCTAGCACCTGAGACAGTAGCCTTGTCTGAATCAAGTACCTCCTGTTGTTGAGGTCAAATTGCTTCTGCCTTGACATCAGCCAAGCCAAAGTCAGAAATTCTAGTTTCACTCCTTTTGAATTGTTTAGTAATTTGCAGAACACGACAAACTATTGCAATAAAACAAAACACTGTGGATGCTGGAAATCTGAAACAAAAGCAGAAAATGGTGAATAAACCCAGCAAGTCTGACAGCATCTGTGTAGCAAAAGCAGAGTTAATGTTTCAGTTTCAGTGACCCTTCTTCAGAACTGAAGCTACGAAAAGGTGGTATATAAAGTTTTTGAGAAGACTTGTAGCTGAGGTTGTGGATGGGGTTGTTGATTTGTTCATCGAGCTGGTAGGTTGGTTTGCAGACGTTTCATCACCATACTAGGTAATATCATCAGGGCGCCTCCAATGAAGCATTGTTGGTCTGTCCCGCTTGTTATTTATGTGGTCTGGTTTCCATACACTCAGACAAAAAAGACCACCAATTCGACTGGGACAATGTAAACATCCTAGGTTAAGCCAACCAAAGACATGCATGGGAATTCCTAGAGGCCTGGTACTCAACCCGGAACTTCATCAACAAACATGTGCAAATAGACCCCGTATACCAAACACTATGAAGCAAAACCTGAAATGAGGCCAACCACTACATCAAACCAGACCAGATAAATAACAAGTGGGACAGACCAACAACGTTTCATTGGAGGCGCACTGATAATGTTACCTAGTATGGTGACGAAACGTCTGCAAACCAATATACCAGCTTGGCGAACAAATCAACAACCTCAAGGCGTTATATATTCTGAAGACGGATGGGGAGGTGAACAGAGTACACAACAGATGGAGATGAAGCCCAGAGGGAGAGAAAGACAGTTAGGCAAAGGGATGAATAATGGCAAACCAAGGAGAAAAACACTGATAATAGGGACCGATAGTAGTTGAAAATGGGTTGCCTGTGCTTAAAGTAGCCCATGTCATAATGGCATTAGGGTATATAAAAGACATGGAAGAAGGTGCTCAGACCCTAAAATTATTGAACTTGATGTTGAGTTCTGAAGGCTGCAGGGTCTTCAAGTGGAAAATTAAATGCTGGCCTTCTAGCCTATGCTGAGCCTTGCTGGAGCACTGCAGCAGGCCTGAGGCAGAAATAATGGCTAGGGAAAACAGTGGTGTGTTGAAGTGGCAGATAATCAGAAGGTCAGGATCATTTTTGCAGACAGATCTTGGACATTTTGCAAAGTAGTCACCCACTCTGCATTTCATCACCCCAATGTAGAGAAGACAACATTGTGTGCGGCAAATCATTAGACTAGATTGAGTGAAGTGCAGGTAATTCACTGCTTCACCTGGAAAATGTCTGGGGCCTTGGATAGTGAGGAGAGAGGAAGTAAACAGGCAATTGTTACACCTCTGCAATTCCAGGGGAAGGTGTCATGAGGCTATGGGGAGATGTTGGTAATGGAAGATGAGTGGACCAAAGTGGCATGGAGGGAACGGTTCTTGCGGAAGGTTGACAAGGGAGGGAAGGGAAGTTATGGAGTGAAGAAGTGTGGGAAATGAGTTGATATGTGATTGTCCTGTCAACCATGGTGGTGGAGGATCCTTGATTTAGGAAAAAGGTGGACATTTCTGAGGACCGCTGGAGAAAGTGGCATCATCAAACAGACGTGACAGAGATGAAGCAACTGGGAGAATGGAATAGAGCCTGTACAGGAATCAGGGTATAAGGATGAACAGTCCAGGTAACTGTATGAGTTGGTTGGTTTGTGGTGGATATTGGTGGCCAGCCTATCCTGAGAAATGGAAACAGAGATGTTGGGGAAGGGAAGGGAGGAGTTGGGAAATGGACAGATAAAGGTGAGAGCAGAGGGGAAATTGGAAGTGAATTCCAATTCCGGATGGGTGAGGAAAGCAGCACCAATTATGTCATCAATGTACCAGAGAAAGAATCGTGAGGAGGGACCTGAGCAAGTTTAGAACAAGGAATGTTCCACGAACCTCACAATGAGACATTATTGTTTTAGTCTCCTCTTCTGTTGATGAAACTTACCTACAGAACCTCAACTACAATTTGGGTGTAGAAGCTGGCATGTGTAGTATCATCCAAAACAATCCATGCCTTTTCCAAGAACTTAGACCTACAATTTTGATTGACAGAGAATATAAATTAGCCAGTCTTTGACTTTTCCTATTCTGTCCCACTCTTCTGAAATGTATTCTCTTATATGTTCCTAAAGGGAAATGCATGATGTTAATTGAAGTCAAAAAGTTGTACGTGACAAATACCTCTTACTTTGCCATTTCAAAAACAAATTAATAGCTCCCCAGGGAAGATAGCATTTAGACCTCATTTAGTTCAAGTACTTGCATCTGGGTTAAATAAACCAAATGAACCACAGTAGGGGTCTTATACAATCTTATATAATATAGAGAACAATAGTAGGGATGGGAATTTTAATGTATAATCTTATGACCAAGTAAGTTTAAGAGTAGTGTGAAAAAAGGATAGACTTCTGCCTCTACATCCTGTCTTGTAGCTATTAATACCAACAAAGTTCAGTAATGCTAAGAGTCTTTGAATATTGCCGTGATCCAATTTGTTATTTTACCATTTACAGCACATTTATTCAGACAAGATAGATGTGGATTTTCTGGTGCAAGCATATTTGATTTTATGCTTAAGTTAGTGACTGTTATCATTCACTGGTATTTTTCTCTGCTGTAATCGTGGTTTTAAATTTATAATATCAATGTGGAACAAGGATCAAAATGCTGTTGACCACATGGCTTTTTAGTAAAACTATCGTAGAAGATCGATTACTAGAATTTCACAACACGGCATATAGGTTGGTTGAGCACGTGCTGAAGCTGTGCTCAGAAGATGGGGTGGAAAACAGTATCATTTGGCTGCTGGGTTGGTGAAACTTGCACTGGTCTGCTGTTATTGCGACTGTGGACAATGACACTATTGAAAACTCAATAATGGTACAAGCAGACCAGTGATCTTATGGTATTGTGGTCAAATTATTGCAGTGATCACAAACACAAAGTTACTGGCATTTTCATATGAAGACTTCTCAGACAACAGGCAGAAGTACATTTTCTAAAATATCGTTAATGTTATAAAATTAGCAGTTAACCAAAATTTAACTCCAGGAAAAGAACATTTTAAAAACATACAATAGTCCTTACACTCACCTTTATACAATATAAAGGAATCTTGAGAGACAACAGCTACAGCTTGCTATTCACAGTAGTAATAGTAACATAAATATTTAAATAATAATGTCTAATTTTTTTAAGAATCAAAAACAATAAAGAATTAGCTTGTGTGTGATTCATCCCTTAAGAGATTTCATTCCACTTCACACTAAAAATCTGTTGCTATTTGCTTGACATATATTTATAACACTTTTTCAACTTGCTACGTTGTAGGATGAAACATACTTTCTGGAACACAGTCTTACAGATTGTCACTTCAAGATGTCAAATGGGTATATCTGTCAGCAGTTTTTGAGTTCTTCTGTGTAATTATATGATATATTTTGTGTAGAAAATACCAATTACGTTTCAATAGAATAATCAAGATACTGCTGCTAAATCAAAAAGAGACGTTTCTGTAGTTTATAGGTTATATTTGTTACTTCTATCATCACTTTGGCTGTAAAATTAAGAACAGTATCAAATGTTTAAAGTGCAGCATCTTGACGCAGGCAACAACAAAATGGAGTAAATTCATTGACCCTTCACTTCTCTAATAATAATAAGCCACATTTTCCAATTACCACTTGACTCCATTTCTGCTGTGTTTGGATGTCAGTCCCGGGCTAAGCATATTTTTGCTGGTTGATCTTCTTGAGCCTGTTTACAGCAGTAACTGCATAATAATTTTTCTGTAAACATAAATGAAAATGTATTCTTTAGCTTCTATGCTCTTTAAAAAACAATGGTAGCATTTTTATTCCCACTCACTGCCTTTATTATGAGGTCTCATACTCATCAAAGACACAATACAGTTTCATCTCCAAATGTGCAAGTAGCTAGACTCTTCTCGGTTTTATTTTACTCAAGTGTTGCCATGATAATTGTGCAAGAATAATATTTAATGACTATGAAATGGTGTTCTTTAATTTCATATTATGCCATTTTGAAAATAGTAAATACTCCCATAATTTCCTGCCTTTGGAATGATACAAGGAGCACATTCTAATGAGAATAAGTTATAGAAAGTCATTTTCTCTGTTAGATTGTTGTTATTGTATCATTTCTGGGAATGTTTTATAATAAAGGCAGATTTCTGGATTCAGTATATCATATAGTTTTAAAATTCACATTGCATATATGTATACAGTTATCTGGAATAATAATTACAGCTGTCAAGAAATTGTCTGACGTCTTGGTGAGTAGATGCACTCGTTATGGAAGACAATCTGAGGAGGTTTGAGCCATAAAATGGACTTTATCAGTTGATCTTGCCTGGGATAGCAGTGAGAATACTCACTTTCCTAGGTCAGAGTGGATAAACAAGCACAATTTTCCAATGATCTCTGGAAAGTCAAACATGTTGAAATTATGAAAAGATAGGATTAAGATGGACTGTGCTGCTCCCCATGTGATTCAGTGCATATCGGCACAGATAATAATTAGTTCAATGAAACACTAAAGATTGTCTAATATGGAACTGAATACCTAACACCTGAAGAAGAAAGAATAGAATAGGGAAACCATTCCTTAACAACTTGCTTGGTAACTTTTGATTACTGTAGAGGATCATAATAAACTCACAGAATTGCTTCATCTGTTTTAACGAATTGTCTCATCCTGTCTGTGCTGGCTCTCTGAAGGAGCAATTTACCTAGTCTTCTCTATGCAGCTCTTCACATTTTTTCCATCTGAGATAATAATCCAATCTGTTCTTGAATGCCCCATCTGATCCTGCCTTCACCATACACTCTCAGGCAATCCATTTTAGACCCCAATCAATTGCTGTAGGAAAAAGCTTCTCCTGTCTCCATTGTTTCTTTTGTCATATAGTTTTGTATAAAGTAGAAGGTGTTTCTTATTACAATTCACTTTAGGTTAGGTTCCCAAAGATGATTTTATCCTGTAACATGTGCTTTATATATATTTTAATGTAATTTATCTTATAGTTCGGATTTTGAACTGGTGGATCATGGTTGTTGGTCTATGTATGAGGGAGTTTAATGATTAATTTGTCAGTATTTCTGGGACCATTTTTTAAAACCAGAATAAGAGACAGCATTCCTAGAGAGCTAATGGGAATTTGTTTGCATTTGTAAAGTATGACAAACAGTCAGAGTAGTCTGCTTCCATTAAAGGACCAATGATTGATTTTTATTTTGTTTAGAAGAAACACCGATAGCTTGAAAAGCATTTAGTTTCAGTTTTCAGAATTCCTGATTAGAGGGGTAGGGCCAGACTTAAGAGGGCAAAAAGAGATATGAGACAGCATTGGCAAATAAGGTTAGGGAGAATCCAAAGTGATTCCAAAAGTACATTAAGGGCAAAAGAGCAACTAGGGAGAGAATAGGGCCCCTTAAAGATCAACGAGGCTGTCTATGTGTGAAACAACAGGAAATGGTTGAGAAATTAAACAAACATTTCACATCAGTATTTACTGTGGAGGAAGACATGGAAGCTAGGGAACTTGGGGAAATAAATAGTGATGTCTTAAAAACAGTTCACATTACGGAAAAGGAGGTGCTGGACGTCTTAAAATGCATAAAGGTAGATAAATCCCCAGGACCTGATCAAGTGGATTCCAGGACAATGGGGGAAGCTAGGGAAGAAATTGTGTACCCCCCACACTGCCCCCACTTGCAGAGATATTTGTATCATCGATAAACAGGGTGAGGTGCCAGAAGACTGGAGGGTGGCTAATGTTGTGCCTTTATTTAAGAAAAGCTGCAAAGAAAAGCCAGGGAACTATAGACCGGTGAGTCTGATGTCAGTGATGGGTAAGTTGTTGGAGGGGATTCTGACAGATAGGATTTTACAAGCATTTGGAGAGGCAAGGACTGATTAGAGATGGTCAGCATGTCTCACAAACCTGAGTTTTTTGAAGAGGTGACCAAGAGGATAGATGAGGGAAGAGCGGTTGACATTGTCTACATGGATTTTAGCAAGGCCTTCGACAAAGTTCCGCATGATAGACTGATTAGTAAAGTTAGATCACATGGGATCCAGGGAGTGCCAACCAACTGGACTAAAAAATTGGCTTGACAGTAGGAGACAGAGGGTGGTGGTAGAGTGTTATTTTTCAAACTGGACGTCTATGACCAGCAGTGTTCCACAGGGATCGGTGCTGTCTGCGCTGTTATTTATAATTTATATAAATGATTTGGATGAGAATATAGGAAGCATGGCTAGTAATTTTGCATATTATATAGTGGACAGCAAAGAAAGTTGTCTCAGAGTACAAAGGGATCTTGATCAGTTGGGCCAATGGGCCAAGGAGTGACAGATGGAACTTAATTTAGATAAATGCAATGAGTTGCATTTTGTTAAGACAAACTATGGCAACAGTTACACAGTTAATGGTAGGGCACTGGGTATGTTGTCGCACAGAGGGATGCAGGGATTCAGGTACATAGTTCCTTGAAATTGGCATCACTGGTAGACAGGAAAGTGAAGAAGGCATTTGGCATACTTGCCTTCTTTGATCAGAGTATTGAGTATAGGAATTGAGACATGCTGCATTGGTGAAGCCCCTTTTGGAGTATTGCATACAATTCTGGTTGCCCTGCTCTAGGAAGGATGTTATTAAATTGGAAAGGGGGCAGAAAAGATTTACAAAGATGTTACCAGGACTAGAGGGTTTGAGTTAAGGAGAGGCTGGATACGCTGGGTCTTTTTTCCCTGGAGCATAGGAGGTTGAGGGATGTCTTTATTGAGGTTTATAAAACAATGAGAGGCATAGATAAGGTGAATAGCAAAGGTCTTTTCCCTAGGGTGGGGTTCAAATCTAGAGGTGATAAGTTTATGGTGATAGAAGAAAGATTTAAAAAGGACTTGAGGGACAATTTTTTCATATAGAGAGTGGTGCATATATGGAATGAACTGCCAGAGGAAAGGATAGAGGCAGATACAGTTACAACATTTCAAAGACATGAGTAGAAAAGGTTTAAGAGAGATATGGGTCAAATGCAGTCAAGTGGGAAACTTGGACAAGTTGGACCAAAGGTCCTGTTTCCATGCTGTATGACTCTATGACTGTATGAATTTAATGCACTTTTCCTGGAGCAATAAGTTCATTCAGACAAGTTAGACATAGGTTATCACAGTGTAAATGTTTAGTTTGAAAGAAGTGTTTGATTAGAATCCTGAAGGGGTTATTCAAAGCTGAGAAAATCTAAGGTCTGTTGTGTGAATATTTGAGGAAGTATGAGACTCAAAACTGGGAGTTGAAAGCAATAGTTAAGCCAAACCTATAGATATAATAGAGAAGAATATTTTGAATACTCTAAAGGGATACTGTTGAGAAGATAGGATTTTTATGTTACTGCATGTTTAGAAATCTTTCAAATTGTGTGATATATGAATAGCTTGGTTTATTCTATTTTATCATCTTTACCTTTAATACTTACCTGTTGTATTGATAAAACCAGATCTGCAGTATTGCATGCTTATGTTTCAGTAAAAGACCACTTAGATCATATTTTACTTTGTTAAATAAAACCAAAAAAGCTAGATTTCAGTCTACGATCTGACTTGTTTGGCAATAATATCAGTTGGGATCTTAACAATTGGGACTCTTGCAAAGCAAAATCACTGTTTTTAAGAGGGATCTGACTTTTCCAGTAATAAAATGATCCCAACTGATAACAACACTCAATATTTACTGACTGTATTAATATGTTAATGATATTGTGGTAAAGTGGTGATGTCACTGGACTAATGCTCTAAGAACACAGGTTCAAATCCCACCACTGCAGCTGGTAGAACTCAAATTAAGTTAATAAAATCTGGAATCAGAAAGCTAGTCTCAGTGGCACTGACCATGAAACTATCATCAATTGTTATAAAATCTAACTAATGTTCTAGAGGGAAGGAAATCTGCCATCTTTAACCAGTTTGGCCTACAAGTGACTCTAGACTGGAGCAATGTTGTTGACTTTTAACTGGTCTCTGAAATGACCTTCTCAATCCACTCATATCAAGGGCAATAGGAATGGGCAACAAATGCTGATCTTGCAAGCAACAATGACATCCATTAAGGAATTGCTTTTAAAATCCTGACCCAACTGTGAAAGGAGCTTAAGAAAATTGGCTTTAGGTATTTGCTGTAGATGGGAAACTTGCACTAGTTACTGATCTGAGCCATAAATGGATTACTTGTAAATTTGTAAGCATGTTGCACATAGGGTTTACTACTTAATGCACACACCATCAAGATGTCTTGAATGAAAATAAATCAAAGTGTTACCTTCCATAAGCGTTGTGTGATGTACTTCCGCAGCATCACTTGAGATTTCAGTTGAACCCTACACTTCTTTGCTTTTTCTGGTAAATTGTTAAGCCAACTGTGTTTCAGACATTGTCCTGCACTGAATCTGTTACTAGTAATGTTGAAAATATACATTATTAGCATCGGATGGAAATATGTGCTAGCCATTTTGTAATGTAGACAATTTTGCAAAGTGAAATCTAGATTTGTTAAACATGTCCTTCCTCTAGAACATGCTTGTGCCAAACCACACGGCTTGCCTTAAAATCAGTAAAATAGCAATCCAATGAAAGATTCTTGCCCTTCATTTGAAAAGCATTACAATTACTTTTGTAGATACACAATAGCAGAGGAACAATTTTAACTCCCAACAAGAGCAGTCTGGAGGCACCTTATTGGATGCCTGGCAGATTTTCACTGTTGGACCTCCATTGAACCAGAAAGCTGCTACCTATTTTGAACAGAAAGTGTCGACAGGATGTAGAAGTAGAATGGGCCACATGCTACTTGCCTGTCTCAAGGAAAAGGTCAAAAATCACACGACCTTGTCCATCCCAGTCCAACACCGGCACCTCCCCACCATGTATCAAGGAAAGATTGTTGATGACCAGGTAACCTTGAACAGGTGAAAGTGGAGCCTCGGTGATCAGGAGTATGCCTGTTCTTGCCCCATGAACTTTACCAATGAAAAGTTTTGTTTTCTACTTTACCTTTAAATAAATGCTGACTCCATAACAGCTCTGGCTGGGGACTTGTGGTCACTCCCCTATTTAGGAATTGGTCAAAAATCCATCAATGTGTCGCGTCCAGCATAGAACACCAATCTGCATTTATTAATGAGGCTTCTGTTGGAGGTTGACAAGAACCTCTTTTGTCAACAAAACCACGCATTAAAGTAGGGCATTGCTGTCATTGATTAAACAAAATTAAACAGCTACATTTTAAATGTATGTCTACTCCCTTTTAAACAATTGAGGGAAATGTTAAAACTCTTCCTCTTTTATAAGTTTCAGTGCTAAACAATATCTGCAGTTGAGAGGATTCGTTAACAAACTCACCACTTACTGTGGCTGTGTGGGTGGAAAAGTGAAATTTCTAAATTAATGAACAGATAAAACAACTCCAGTGATTGTGTTACAATGAAATAATAACTCATTGGAAATCGCTGACAGGAACCCTTTGAGTAGGCTTAATTGGCACCATTATACATAAAGTAACAGGGAAAAGACCCAGTTCTTTTATGTTTGGAACATAAATCAATTATTCCTAACAGATTATTTTTCTTCATTACCTAGAGGGAAGCTTGCTTTGTTCACAGGATTTCCATTTAACATACTATTGGGCTTTCAGACCAGCACTCAAAAGAAAGTCTTAGCCCCTCAGACCATCAAAGTTCTAAAAGGAACAAATACTTGTGGTATCCAGACATTTCAGTATTTTCTTTAGTATAACATTTTCCAGTAACTTATTTCAAGCAGTCATGCTACAGCAAACTGGTCAACTTAGGAAACTGGAGAAATTTATTTTGCGAGTCTATAGAACTGCCTCAAACGCACAACAAATTTGAATTTAGTCTCTCATAAATCTTAAAAAATCTGCAAGGACGATTATATTTTATTTGTCATACCCTTTTTCTTTAACAAGGAGGTTTGAAACAAAATCCTTTGCTTCTTCAGACACACTTTCAAATCCTTCTGCATCAAAGTCCCAGTTTGCAATGATAATATTATTCATGGTTTCAGTGTCATGATCACCCAGGAAAGGGGACAAGCCACTCACCCTAGAAAAAAATAGACGTTCATCACATAAGTAGGCATAGAATCAACAATTTTATTAATTTTAACAGCTAAATATTGGCCAAGGCTATGGGCCATGTGCTGGAAAATGGGATGAGAATAGTTAGGTAGTTGTTTATGACTGGTGTGGACATGATGGGTCGAAGAGCCTTTTCATGTGTTGTAAATCACTATGATTCTAAGACTCTGAAACTGGGTTGATGTGATAATGAGCCCAATAGCATTAGTAATAAAAGCAAAAATGCTGTGGATGCAGGCAATCTGAAATAAAAACAATGGTGCTGAAGGACTCAGCCAGTCTGTGAAGAGAGAACCAGCGTCAACGTCTTGAATCTATAGGACAGGTGGGGACTGTTCTCAACAGAGTAATACAGAACTGTAACACCACAGATGCTGCCAGGCCTGTTGAATTTTTCCAGAAATGTCTGTTTTTGCTTCAGCAACACCAGTTTTTTGGCCATTGATCGCTGCTTTGGGGGCAAAGCAGTGTCTGAGGTGCATGCACACAGAATAGAGTTCACTGCATATCATACTTCTGGGGGTGTTAACAGTGAATAGCCACTGAACGTATGCAATGTGGGTAGGCATGATGTCAACAATCTGCAATATGGTTCTAACACTGGTTAGGCTATTTTGAAACTCAATACTCTGGCCCACGCCATTTTTTAAATGGCCCAGCTTGTCATGTGTTCTGTTCAGGAACGATTCCCACACAAATGTTGTCTAGGGGGATTTGTTTCTTTTTCATTCATAGATTGGGGGTAACAGTGGCTGGGCCAGCATTTATTGCCGATGCCTAATTGCCCTTGAGAAGGTGGTGGTGGGCTGCCTTCTTGAACCACAGGTAGGCAAGCCCACAATGTTTTAGGGAGGGTGTTTCAGGATTTTGATCCAGCAACAGTGAAGGAACAGCAGAATAGTTTCAAGTCTCAACGATATGCAGGAGGTAATGTTCTCACGAATGTGCTACTCTTATTCTTCTAGTGGCCACAGATTTGGAAAGTTTTATCAAAGAAGGCTTGGTGAACTGTTGTAATGTAATTTGTAGATCAGACACATTGCTGCCCCTGGCGGTGCAGGGAGTGAATGTTGAAGGTGTTAAATGTCAAGATGTCTGCTTTATCCTATGTGGTTTCAAGGATCTTGGGTGTTGTTGATTTGATTTGACTTATTATTATTGTCACATGTACCTAGGTACAGTGAAAAGTTTCATTTTGCGTGCAGTACAGGCAGGTCATACCATACCAAGTGCATTAGGGTAATAGAACAGAGCAAGGAATACAGAGAAAGTGCAGAAAGAGTGAGATCAACACTAAATTTAAATGGAGTACTGACCATCATATCATCCACTTGATCTTCATGCAAAAGTAAAAGTTCCAAAAATGTGAATATTTCAAACCAAATTTATAAATACAACCATCCAATATTCCATACACAAGCTAACTAATCATGCATGTGATAGCACAGTATGAAGAAGGGTCCTGACCCAAAACGTCAACTTTCCTGCTCCTCTGCTGCTGCCTGGCCTGCTGTGTTCCTCCAGCTCCACACTGTGTTATCTCAGACTCCAGCATCTGCAGTTCTCGCTATCTCTAATCATGCATGCGTATTCCTTAGTACCTATATTCTACACAGCCTTGTAGTAAGTGGAAGACTGCTCACTTTCAGTGGTGGAGGCTGCATGTGACTGGCCTTAGAATGATGCCTAGAAGGTCTAAGCTTATAAAAGCCAACTACAGACTGTATCCAATCTACCTGGGGAACAACAATCTAGGGCTAAAATTGTTTCAGAGATAGTAGGAACTGCAGATGCTGGAGAATCTGAGATAACAAGGTGTAGAGCTGGATGAACACAGCAGG